AGACTTGGTGTGATACTAACTGGGGAGGGTGGGGGGCCGTTCCACTGTCCTGGGCCTGTCATCGGAGGAGGATGGACTGAAGGACCCTATGTAGGAACACATACATAGAGGCATATACACAAGTGGAAAACTCCATTAAATACAGTGGTAAGTTGCATAATGATTGTGTAAAAAGATGTTACTGTGTAATAAATGCGTGTTATGTAGTGTCTTACATACCATGCTAGGGTCAGGGCCATAGTAGTACACCTGCAAACAAAACACATTCAGTGAGTAAACAGCAGTTCAATACCATATTTTGAGACAGTGATATTAACACATCCATTAATAGATAAGAAGTGATCAGTGCTGGTATTTTCTCACTGCTCCTGGTTGTCCAGGAGTGCTGTAGGGAGGAGCAGGTCCAACAGGACCACCGGGAGGAGGATGGACTGCTTGTGGGGTAGTCTGGAGAGAGAGAGAGAGAGAAGAGAGGAGAGAGAGAAGAAGAGAGAGAGACAGAGAGAGAGAGGAGAGAGAGAAGAGAGAGAGAGAGAAGAGAGAACACAGAGGAGAGACAGAGAGGAGAGAGAAGAGAAGAGAGAGAGAGAGAGGAGAAGAGAGAGAGAGAGAGCCACTTCTCTTAGCAGTTGTAAAACTACCAATTGTTTGTTTATTGTGAAAAACAGTAAACCCAGACATGATTTAATGTTTGTTACAATCTATGGGAACAACAGTAGAGAGTTTCTCCTGATTCGTCGGTGTTAAGTTTGAATGACAGACTGAAGTAAAGATATAAAACAGTAGCCATTGTAACAAAGGTCACTGGCCTCTCTGCTGCTGCTGTTGGTGATAGAGCGACTAATCCAACATCTGTGCATGGCTGTCTCAATCTTCTTCGTGTGGAACGAACAGCAGAGAGGATCAGCGTTACTGAATAGAATTTTGAAATGTGTTTCAGCATTGTGTATATGCAATTAGATCGAGTACGCACTACGATGATGAAATGGCATTGTGAGCCCCTGTCACCTTACCGCATAGCTATAAACATTCTGCCTGGAATTCCCTGTAGGACTAGAATTAGTTACTTTTCTTTGTTTGGATTTGCATTATAAATCAGCCATGGCAGTGTGCTTTCTAAATATCAGCATTAGCTGTTGTAAAACCTTTATCTGTTGACCATTACACTAAAAGCCTCATTGTCTACTGGCAATGTTTTTTTTTTTCATTTTTTGTATTTTTATTTGTAAGTGCTTCTACCTGCATTTAAAAAACCTGTATGCGTGCTAAGCTTGGGGTAAAAAGGGTATAAGTCTATAGTGTGTAAACATGGTATGTTATTTTTACCATAATTCAGTGCTTATTGCTTTATGGTTAATACCTATATTGATTTGGGTAGACAGTACAAGTACACAGATGCCAAAGAAGCAAGACAACGTGTTTATAAGGACAGCTGGCTCATGTAAAAGGATTATTTTGTCAATGTAGAATATTTACAATAATAGAATAGGCATTGATATTTGGTGTTTAGGGTCTGCTCTCACCACTCCCCACAAAAAGAACCAGCACCTCACAAAGGGAAGGTGGCTGCTGAATGGAGGAGCAGAATTTTAATTTCAGGGAAAACTCCATTTAAAACACGTTGAAGGTTAATAAAAATATGCACAGGTTTACGTAGGGAGTCAGGGGCTAAATATAATTAAAATGATCCAGGACAACATATTTTATTTCCAGGTGATTCCATGACTGCAAAGTTTCTACATTTCTAGGTTTTCCAGGATGTGTGGGGACCCTGATTTAAATAGCCCCAATATGTGCCTTTACACTTTGACCAAATGCCGAACTATGGGACATTCCCTGAATGTTCACAATAAAGATTTATGTAAAAAACCCTCTCCAGATGGAGTCGTACTCGTCTGTGCCTTCGGTTAGTACCTGTAGCGTTGCAGCAGTGTTGGCTTTCTTTTTGAAAATCTTCTTCCGACAACAGCAGCAAATCCCAGCCGGGATGCCCAGCAGTAAGAGGAGAGCAATGAGAGGGTTTCCCTGGGACTCATGATGGTCTACATTGGAAACATAAGTGGGGAGGGGGGTCACAGGTGAGTAGGGTTGTATATTTAATAGTGCTGAAGACTTTTCACATTGCTCAGCTTTATCGTGCACATGTCAATCAATATATGTTCATTCAAAATGGTGCTTCTTTGACTCCCTCCAGCACTCATCTTGAGTTCACCTTAACATCCATTAAATTCATCCATCTCACCATCCCTGCATTTGCACTTTATTCAGAGTTGCCTTGGTAGCTGTATGTCACATGCTTCAGGGTTGCCACTCTTTTTAAGAAATCATTTTCCAAGACCTTTCCAGGAGAGTTTCCAGGACAGTTTTCTTGACAATAGAAGTCTGCACTTGCTAACAAATTATCATATAATTTACCTATAAACCTCGTATTGATACATTTATCCCCAGTTTTATTCAATACACAGCAAAAGAGGCAGAATGTATTAGCCAAAATGTAATCTCGGAACCCACTGGATACCATCTGATGACCATTGAGCTTTTTAAAAATGTACCTGCATTCATATACAGATATCTGTCTTAGATTAGCCGAATTGTGTCTTTTTCATCACTCTAGCATATGAAGTTGCTAACTGGACTCCAGAGGAAGGCTCACTGGCTAAACACCATAAGGATGGGACAAGACAGACAGACAGACAGACAGAATTAATCCCCAAAGGGAAATTGGGTCGTCATAGCAGCCAGGTACATTAAAATACAATAAAATACAATAGAATAAAATACAACAATAGAATAAAATACTTAGATAGAAAGATAAAAAAGATAAATAGGAAGGTAAGGTGCAAAGAGTTGTAGTTGCAAGATGGTGGTAATGTAGTACGTTATACATTAATGGGTAGTTTGATTGTTAAACGTATCATAATACATAAATAGATTATCCAGTATATATATACCAATATATGAATAACGTTAATATATGATAATATTTAATAATTATTATATAATATGATGACTGAACAGAATATATTGTATCACAGAATATTATACATTATACTGAATGATATGTTAACATGTCATA